AGTCTAGTCTATATTCAAGTCTATAGTCTATAATCTATAGTATATAATCTAGTCTATAGTAGACTATCTATATTCAAGTCTATAGTATATAATCTAGTCTATAGTAGACTATCTATAGTCTAGTCTATAGTAGACTATCTATAGTCTAGTCTATAGTAGACTATCTATAGTCTTGTCTATAGTCACGTTTAAAGTCTAATATAAAGCCTAGCATAGTCTGATCTTGATCTGATCACTTTTTCTGTATAAATATTGCTAAAATTCTCTTTAGAACTTTTCATATTAACACCTCTTTTCCTAAAAACACTTTTAACACGGCGCATATTTACACATTACACACATTTAAGGAAAAACCTACACACACAAAAATATTTATGCGATTACGAGTAAATATTGAAATATGACAATAGGTAGTAGGTACTCGTAATACCAATGTGTATTATGGTAGATATTTTATAATGATTAAATAAATTGATTTTTTTTATCTAAAAACCGTTAACAATATAAGTTTATATATTGGATTTAACAACTATATAATAAATAAAATAAATAAAGAGTAAAAATGTAATGAATATTATAATGTGGTTATACAGATAGTAAAATAATATTCTGATCAGGTGTAAATTGGATATAAGAAGTGGTATAGTTCCTAGAATTACAGCTAGAAGGAAATTTAATATTATATTTCGGATCTGTTTTAACATAGATGTAAAATTACAAAAAAATGATTTGTTGATGTAAAATTAACAAGACCGCTTGTTTTCATTAATTTCGTAACAAGATTGAAAATTTCACAAGAAGTGAAATTTTTAGAAAAAGGGGAAATTTTCAAATTTACTGTGGTATGAATTAAATGGACTTAATTCAAGCAATTTTTTTGAATTTGTCGAAAAATTTTCTTCAAAATTTAATTTTTTTTTTATAAAAAATTGCAAAAAGGGAAATTATTCTAAAAAGTCAAATTTCTACATTAAAGATAAGTATTTTTAAAGATAAGTATTTTTTTTAATTTTTAGAAAAAAGGGGAAATTTCCAAATTTTATGTGGTATAAAGTAGTTACACTTAAATTAAGCAATTTTTTGGATTTGTAGAAAATTTTTCTTCTAAATTTACATTTTGTGAAAAATTTTAAAAAATGGGAAATTTTTTAAATGAGTTAAATTTCAAAATTGTTCATAATTTGTGTAATTAATTAAGCCAAAATTATTATTGTTATGATTTTCTTTATAAATTTGAAAATTTCCCAAAAAGGGGAATTTTTTTTAAAAGGGAAATTTTCAAAATTTTTGTGCAATCGTATGAAAAGTCTTTAAATAAAGCAAATATATTGAGTTTCACGAAATTTTTCATTAAATTTTTAAGATTTTTTGAAAAAATTAAAAATTTTCCCAAAAAGGGATTCATGATTTTCAATGTTTTGTTAAAAAAAACTTCAAATATATGTTTTTAAGGAATTTCTCGTTTAAATTAGAAAATTTCCCAAAAAGGGAAATTTTACCAAATTTAAAAATTTTTGTGTTTTCCGAAGAAAATTTTCATTACAAAGGTTTAAGGTTCAATATTAATTCATCCTTAATTTGTTTAAACAATATTTGCTCAAAAATTTTAAAATTCCCTTAAAGGGAAATTTTCCAAAATGCTTCAATTTCGACCAATTTTATATAATTATCTGAAATTTTTACTTAAATAAGTGTTAAAAAGCATTTTATTGACTATATTTGAAATTTCCCATAAAGGGAAATTTTCTCAAAACTAAGATTTTTTTCCCATTTTAAACCAAATAATATTATAAAAGTTTCTAACTAATATGATCTGCAACTTATATTAAGTCCTTTAATCTATAGGGTATTTCTATATCAAACTTTTAATAAAACTTGTAGTAGGTATTGTAGTAAATTTGTTGCTTATTTCGTTTGAAATGTAAGTTTGTTGGTTTGTGATTCATGGGGCTTGTTGTCAACTCCAAAAAAAATGCTCGTCGTCTTACTAACAGTAAAAAAAACAGATATTAACTTCTGTATAGACTTTTGTAACAACCCTCCCTCGATAGAAATACACATGAAATCAACCAACCAACCAGCCAGTCAGCCAACATACAAAAAAACCGACACCAACACATGAACTCAAACAAAAACTATAGAAATGAAAAGAAACTAAAACTCAACAACTTTACAAAAGCTTGATGATTATGATTATCGCACTATTGCCAACTATAAATACAGGCAGATAGAGACAGACAGACGGAAAGACAGACAGACGGAAAGACAGACGGACGGACAGACGCATGAATAGATGAACTGAACAAACGTACGAAACGAAAGACAGACAAACAAATGTGTGGACAAACATAACAAGCGCTCTAGCTAGTAAGTAAGTAAAGAAGCAAGCAGCCAGGCAAGCACACAAGTCAAGTCAGCCGAGCTAAACTAGTAAAGCTAGTGAATAAGCGTAGACTCAAAACATTGAGCCAGTCAGTCAGTCAGTCAGTTCGGCAGACAGACAGACAGTTAGTTAGACAAACAAACACCACCATCAAACTATTGTATACAGTTCAGCGCTAAACTAAAAACTACTAAATGACGACTAGTCTGACAAGCAAAAGCAGTGAACCTTAACAAAACCATCATCTATCTTTGAAATACACAAACAAAAAAGTAAACACAAACACACATACTTGTACTTCAACATTTCTACAGCTCTTCCCCCCCACACCCTTTCAACTCTTCAACAACAACAACAAGAACAACAATAAAACAACTTAAAACTCAACTCAGCTTTTGCTGCTCCATCTAATGTTGTTTAATTCACATGGCTTTACGCGAGCTAAAAACTACAACAACAACAGCAACAACATCAATAATATACACTCTCGCACTTACAAATAATTCATAAACTTACATACATTCTTACACACATATCTATCTATGTATATTATACATCTATCTACTTAAACTTTTATTCATTATGAAACCAGAGAGCTGTTTGGTGAGTATAGTTGGGTGGGTGGTTGTTTAGTTGCTTGATGAGGTTGTATATTGTTGGTGGGGTTGCTGTTGGTAGTTAGGTGGATAACATACAAAAGTGCGGCAGGTCAATAACGTTTGTTAATATTTGTTGCTATCTTTAGATACCCAAGTAAAGTATTAAATAAAAAGTATTAAGTATAGGGTAATGCCAGATTGTTGAAACAAAAACAATAATTCCCAAAATCTCCTAAATATTCAAGGGGAACATTTAAATTTAAAATAAAATCTCAAAGTTTGAATAATACAAAATTTTCTCAAAGTCTGAAAATTTTTCCAAAGAAAATTTGTTTAATGACTTAACAACTTTTCTTTATAAAATTTGCTCAAGATTTAAACTACTCTTCTTTCGAAAATTTGCACAAACTTGTAACAATTTTCTGTAGGAAATATTCTTTAGATTTTCTGCTAAGTTTCAAGAACTCTTCTTTAAAAAATTTGCTCCAAGTTTGTACAACTTTTCTTTAGAAAATTTGTTCAACTTTTAACAACTTTTCTTTAGAAAATTTGTTCAAAGTTTGAAAAAGTTTTCTTTAGAAAATTTGCTCAAAGTTTGAACAACTTTTCTTTAGAAAATTTGCTCCAAGTTTGAACAACTTTTTCTTTAACAAATTTGCTCCAAGTTTGAACAATTTTTCTTTAAAAAATTTGTTTAAAGTTTGAACAACTTTTCTTTAGAAAATTTCCTTAAAGTTTAAACAACTTTTCTTGAGAAAATTTGCTCAATGTTTGACAAGTTTTCTTTAAAAGATTTGCACAAATTTGGAACTCATTTCTGTAAGAAAGATTCTTTAGATTATCTGCTCAAAGTTCGATCGATTTTTCAAGCAACTTTTCTATAGAAAATTGGCCTCAAGTTTCAACAACTTTTCTTTAGGAAATTTGCTCAAAGTTTCTACAACTTTTCTTTAGAAAATTTTTTCAAAGTTTGAACAACTTTTGCTCCGAAAATTTGCTCAAAGTTTTGCTTTTCTTTTTTATAGGAAAGTTGAAGCAATTCTCATTACTTATTCTATAGAAAAGTTTAAGCAATTCTCATTATATTTTTATAGAAATGGTGAAGCAATTCTCATCATCTTTTCTGTAGAAAAGTTCAAGCAATTCTCATCATTTTTTCTATAGAAAAGTTTAAGCAATTCTCATTACTTCTTCTATAGAAAAGTATAAGCAATTTTTATCATGTTTTTATAGACAAATTGAAGCAATTCTCATCATATTTTCTTTAGAAATGTTGAAGCAATTCTCATCATCTTTTCTATAGAATAGTTGAAACAACTATTATCATCTTTCCTATAGTAAAGTTGAAGCAATTCTCATCACTTTTCCTATAAAAAAGTTAAAAGTATTCTCAACATCTTTTCTATATAAAAGTTGCAGCAATTCTCATCATATTTTCTATAGAAAAGTTGCAGCAATTCTCAACATTTTTACTATAGAAAAGTTGAAGTAATTCTCATCATCATTTGTATAGAAAAGTTGAAGTAATTCTCATCAACTTTCCTACAGAATTCTAATCATCTTTTCTATATAAAAGTTGCAGCAATTCTCTTCATATTTTCTATAGAAAGGTTGCAGCAATTCTCAACATTTTTACTATAGAAAAGTTGCAGCAATTCTCATCATCATTTGTATAGAAAAGTTGAAGCAATTATCATCATCTTTTCTTTTTACAAGTTGCAGCAATTCTCATCGACTTTCCTACATAAAAATTGCTGCAACTCTCATTAACTTACCTAAGTAACATATGCTGAAATTCCCGTCAAATTTTCTGATGAAATTTTCTATGAAAAAGTTGTGCAGAAACATTTGTCTAGGGTAAAACTCTGGGATTTGTCTTCCCCATCTACTGGCAACTCCCTAAACAAATTATACACATTTTCTGTTAAAGCTCATAAACATGAAAATTTCCTATTTACTCTTCTGAATATTGAACAAAAAAAAAATCAACTGTTTCTTTATTTTGTTTATGTATTTTTAGCTCTCAAAAACGTGCTTATTAAAATCGTTCTCTCTCGAGAACACAGCTGTGTGCGGGTTGCTCTCCGGCAACAAAAATAAAAAAGAGATATCACATATGCAGCGCTCTTGCTGTTGCCCGTTAATAGAACAACTGTTTTAGACAACCAGCAGCAGAAGTAAACCTGAAATTCAACTCATTACAGTTTAAGAAACGCGCGCGTTGTGTAAAGACGACGTTGCTGTAGTAGTTCCGTCATTGTTTAAAAAAAAATTTTCAGTTTTTTATTTCGCATATATATATAAAAAAAAAAATAACGAAAAAATACATGAATACAAGAAATAAAATACATACAAAAAATTAAATACAACTGGAAATAAAACAAAAAAAAAAAATTAAAGATTTTTTTTTCCCAAATAGAAGCAAGCAAACAGAAAAAAATTACGCAAATATTTATTAATAATGTTAAAACGAAAAAGCAATTTTTTATATAAAAATAAAAAAATTTCAAAATTATTAAAGCTTTACTTTGAGTTACAAGCAAAAAGTTGTATATGAAATTTAAAAGAAGAAAACAAAACAAGAATTTATTTAAGTTTTTTTTGTTAAAAGTTTAATAATAAAACTGTGATCTCATAAAAGGAAGAAAAGAATTGCAAAAAAAAAAAAGGTTAAAAGTGATTTTTGGGGAACTTTTTCTTATACAAGAAACTAAATTATGACGGATGCTTTAAAATTGGCTGAAATGCAACGCACAAATATTGAATTTGAACGTCAAAGACATTTGGCAAATTGGTTAATCAAAAGTAGTCCTCATATGGCAACGCCAACAGCAACAACAACAACTACAGCAATACAACAACAACAACAACAGCAACAACATCAAGCCTCTAATACATCAAGTAATAACTGTGGAACAGCAACAACAGCTTTAACTGCAGCTACAGCAGCAATCAGCAACAATACAACAACGTCAACCGCAGCAGCAGCAACAAATCCATCATCATCATCATCATTAATACCAGCAACATCATTATTATCATCTAGCAATAATGGAGCTACAACTACAACAAATAGTGGTGAGTTTTTTTGAACTTACTCTCTGGTAAAATACGAACATTTTTAACAGAGAGAGAGTGCAAGAGAGTGCAAGAGAGAGAGAGCTCATCAAGAGTGTTACAAAATAACGGTTACTAAGAGCTTTTTTTGTGTTAGAAAAGAGCAGGAAATTAAAAAGTCCCCTGTAGAAATTTACGAAAATTTCATCATTAAGTGTAATTTGTGCGTGTTAAAGCAACCAAATTCTTCATTATAGGCAAAAGTTGGCAAATGTGTGCAAATGTGTGCAAATGTTTGGCAAAAGTTTGCAACTCTGTGCAAATATGTGCAAAACATGTGCAACTACTAGTGTAAATAGCAAATATTGTTAACGAGTGCGTTTTATAGTTAATAAAGTCAAAGCAAATGTTATAAAAAGTTCCACCCTTAAAAAAAAACCTCTAAATATTAAATCAAAATCACTGCCCACCCTTAATTTTAAACGAAAGTATAAAAAATCACAAATAAAAGTAAACTAAACTAAAAAGTGCTTCAATCAATGTGTAACAACTGCAGGCGTTAGCGACAGTCTTTGAAATATTAAAAAAAAAAAAAAAATTAAATGAATTTTTCAATATAAACTATAATAAAGCGATAAAAGGTGATAAAAGTTTTCAAATAAGATGATGTGAAATATTAAAAAATTATAAAAGTTTTATAAATTTTATTACAAATTAAAGAAATTTTTTTTGAAAAAAATTTATAGAAATTGTGTTAAATTTACGAAATCTCTAACAGAAATCTCAAATCTAAACCAGTGCGTGTCTAAATTCGTTAAAAACATGATTTCCTTAAAAATTAAAATTTAATAAAATTTAATTTGATACAAACAAAAATTATTACTAACTAGAAATAAATTTTTGATTAAACAGAGAAACAGACAGAAGGAATCGCTAAATCGATGTCCGATTTTATAGAATTTAAGAAGCAAACTTCTATAATACATGTCTGATAAAATTATTGAAGAGATGAATCCCGAAGATATCATGGTTTTGTAGAAAATAGTTTTGAACAAATATACAGACAGACAGACGGATGGATGGATAGACAGACAGCGAAACACACAGAGGGAATCGCTAAATCGATGTCCGATTTTATAGAATTTAAGAAACAAACTTCTAGAATACATATCTGATAAAATTATTGAAGATTTGAGTCCCGAAGATATCTTGGTTCTGAACAATCTGCGGACAGACAGATGGATGGATGGATGGATGGATGGATAGACAGATAGAGGGAATCGCTAAATTGACTTTGTTATCTATAGGGATTCTGGTTTGAATCACAAAGATTCATGGTTCTGTAGAAAATTGTTTTCAACAAATATACGGACAGACAGACGAATGGACGGATAGACAGACAGAGAGAATCGCTAAATCGACGTCCGATTTTGTAGAATTAAATATGCATATGTGATAAAATTATTGAAGATTTGAAACCCGAAGATATCTTGGTTCTATAGAAAATTATTTTGAACAAATAAGTATACGGACAGACAGATGGATGGACAGACAGAGAGAATCGCTAAATTAACTTTGTTATCTATAGGGATTCTGGTTTGAATCCCGAAGATATCATGGTTCTGTAGAAAATTGTTTTAAACAAATATACGGACAGACAGACAGAGGGAATCGCTAAATCGATGTCCAATTTTGTAGAATTTAAGAAGCAAACTTCTAGAATGCATATCTGATAAAATTATTGAATAGTTGAATCCCGAAGATATCTTGATTCTGTAAAAAATTCTTCTGAACAAATAAGAAGTATACGGACAGATAGATGGATGGACGGATAGACAGACAGAGGGAATGGCTAAATTGACTTCTGAATAATTGTTTTTAACATATATACGGACAGACAGAGGTACAAACAGACGGACATTGCTAAATCGACATCGCTCTTTATGGGGATTCTGAATACACATGTAGAAAATGACGAAGATATCAAGAGTCTGAAGAAAATAGTTTTTGATAAATATACGGACAGATAGACAGACGGACATTGCTATATCGGACAGACACACTTGTGAACAGACAAACAGACGGACATTGCTAAATCGACAACGCTATCTATAGGGATTCTGAATACAATTCCGAAGATATCAAGGGTCTGAAGAAAATTCCTTTTAACATATATACCGACAGACAGATGGGCAGACAAAATCGTACGGACTTTGCTAAATCGACTTCGCTATCTGTAGGGATTCTGAACAATTGTTTTTAACAAATATATGGACAGACAGAGGTACAGACAGACGGACATTGCTAAATCGACATTTCATTCTCATATAGGGATTCTAAATACAGATATAGAAAATGCCGAAGTTATCAAGGGTCTCAAGAAAATTGTTTTTGACAAATATACGGACAGATAGACAGACGGACATTGCTAAATCGACTTCGCTATATATAGGGATTCTCAATACATGTATAGACAGACAATGCCGAAGATATCAAGGGTCTGAAGAAATTTTGTTTAACATACATATGTACATACGGACGGATGGGCAGACTAAATCAGAGGGACATTGCTAAATCGACATCGTTTTTAACAAATATAGAAAATGCCGAAGATATCAAGGGTCTCAAGAAAATTGTTTTTGACAATTATACGGACAGACAGACGGACGGACATAGCTAAATCGGACAGACACACTTGTGAACAGATAAACAGACGGACTTTTCTAAATTGACTTCGCTAGTAATAGGGACTTTGAATATTAAAGGTCTAAAGCAAATAGTTTTTAACAAATAAGTATACGGACAGACAGACAAGTGAGCAGATAAACTGACGGGCATTACCAAATTCGCTATCATATATAAAAATGTCGAAGATATCAAATATACGAACAGACAGACAGACGAACATTGCTAAATCGACTTCGCTATCTATAGAGATTCTTAATATATTAAGAATTTGATAATAGAATTGATAAAATTATTAAAGAATTTCTAAAAAAACGAAAACATTTAGATTTGTTTCTTAAAAAAAAATGTTCTATGACGAGTGCAAGCGAACGAACGGATGAACGAATACAGATGCTTGGACGAGTGCAAACAGAACCAATTAAGATTCTTCAACGGCCAACTTGCAACTAGTAATGTTATCATTATTTCTAGAAGCCGTTCTATAAAAGATTATTGTGATTCGAAAGTTCTTTCTAAAGAGTTTTTAAGGGACTATAGTTCTTTGTAAAAGAAAATTATTAAAGAATTTCTAAACGACATAGAAAGTTCGGTGAAATGGCAAACTAGTTCCAAAGGAATATCTTACAACCAGTGAAAAGAGCTTGAAAAAAACATTAAAGAATTTCTAAACAACTCAGAAAATATTTAAAAATTTATTTCTAAAAGAGAACAAAACTTGTTCTAGAATGTGTGCAAGCAGAACTATTTCATATTCTTCAGCAGCAAACTTGCAAATAGTGTTGTTGCCAATTTTTGTAAAAATATATATTAATTTCATCATTTTTTTAAAGATTGTCAAAAGGTAATTTTTAAGAGGGGAAATACCAGGAAAGATTATATTATGAGTTGATTCACATTAAATTTGGTGACGAAATTATAATTTCTCTAAAACTTGTTGTACCGAATTTCATCAGAACAGCTATGAGCATGAAAGTAAGTTTCTAGGGTAACAAAATAAAATCGTAGACCGATATGGCACACTTTCAATACCCAACCAAGAATTAAACGCTGTCGTTTTTTCACCAGATGGACAGACAGACATAAAAAAGGACAGACGGACATTTCAAGATTGTCTTAGAAAAAAGTGATATTTTAATAAAATATTTTTATTTAGAATGTAAACAAATTTTGGTGAAAAATCGTTCAGTCAAAAATGTTTTGCGGAAAAAATTTTGTGAAAAAAATTGTGATCAAATTTTTCTACAAACAAAAAGTTTATTTTGTGAAAATCAGTGCGTATAATTTTTGTGACACAAAGATCTAAAGTACAAAATACGAAAAAAATTTGTGATTATTTTAACAAAAACTTTGGTGAACAAATATAGAAAACAAAACACATATTTTTAAATTAATGGAATTTGTGATTTTTTCTGTCGATAAAAACTTTTGTAAAAAAATGATTTAAAAAAGATTTCTAGAAATCATTTCTTTTTAAGAAATAACACTTTGATACAAAAATTTTTCAGTTCTAGTTCAGTTCAAATTCTGGGTCCAAATTACGGCATTCGATATCGATCGAAATTTCAATAGAATCTAAATGGAGAATTCGATCGATATCGTATGCCATAATATGGGCCCTGTTCTAGTTCAGTTCTAGTTCAGTTCTAGTTCAGTTCTAGTTCAGTTCTAGTTCAGTTCTAGTTCAGTTCTAGTTCAGTTCTAGTTCAGTTCTAGTTCAGTTCTAGTTCAGTTCTAGTTCAGTTCTAGTTCAGTTCTAGTTCAGTTCTAGTTCAGTTCTAGTTCAGTTCTAGTTCAGTTCTAGTTCAGTTCTAGTTCAGTTCTAGTTCAGTTCTAGTTCAGTTCTAGTTCAGTTCAGTTCGTTCTAGTTCAGTTCTAGTTCAGTTCTAGTTCAGTTCTAGTTCAGTTCTAGTTCAGTCTAGTTCAGTTCTAGTTCAGTTCTAGTTCAGTATCTAGTTCAGTTCTAGTTCAGTTCTAGTTCAGTTCTAGTTCAGTTCTAGTTCAGTTCTAGTTCAGTTCTAGTTCAGTCTCTAGTTTCAGTTCTAGTTCAGTTCTAGTTCAGTTCTAGTTCAGTTCTAGTTCAGTTCTAGTTCAGTTCTAGTTCAGTTCTAGTTCAGTTCTAGTTCCGTTCTAGTTCAGTTCTAGTTCAGTTCTAGTTCAGCTCTAGTTCAGTTCTAGTTCAGTTCTAGTTCAGTTTAGTTCAGTTCTAGTTCAGTTCTAGTTCAGTTCTAGTTCAGTTCTAGTTCAGTCAGTTCTAGTTCAGTTCTAGTTCAGTTCTAGTTCAGTTCTAGTTCAGTTCTAGTTCAGTTCTAGTTCAGTTCTAGTTCAGTTCTAGTTCAGTTAGTTCAGTTCTAGTCGTTCAGTTCGTTCTAGTTCAGTTCTAGTTCAGTTCTAGTTCAGTTCTAGTTCATTCTAGTTCAGTTCTAGTTCAGTTCTAGTTCAGTTCTAGTTCAGTTCTAGTTCAGTTCTAGTTCAGTTCTAGTTCAGTTCTAGTTCAGTTCTAGTTCAGTTCTAGTTCAGTCTAGTTCAGTTCTAGTTCAGTTCTAGTTCAGTTCTAGTTCAGTTCTAGTTCAGTTCTAGTTCAGTTTCTAGTTCAGTTCTAGTTCAGTTCTAGTTCAGTTCTAGTTCAGTTCTAGTTCAGTTCTAGTTCAGTTCTAGTTCAGTTCTAGTTCAGTTCTAGTTCAGTTCTAGTTCAGTTCTAGTTCAGTTCTAGTTCAGTTCTAGTCAGTTCTAGTCAGTTCTAGTTCAGTTCTAGTTCAGTTCTAGTTCAGTTCTAGTTCAGTTCTAGTTCAGTTCTAGTTCAGTTCAGTTCTAGTTCAGTTCTAGTTCAGTTCTAGTTCAGTTCTAGTTCAGTTCTAGTTCAGTTCTAGTTCAGTTCTAGTTCAGTTCTAGTTCAGTTCTAGTTCAGTTCTAGTTCAGTTCTAGTTCAGTTCTAGTTCAGTTCTAGTTCAGTTCTAGTTCAGTTCTAGTTCAGTTCTAGTTCAGTTCTAGTTCAGTTCTAGTTCAGTTCTAGTTCAGTTCTAGTTCAGTTCTAGTTCAGTTCTAGTTCAGTTCTAGTTCAGTTCTAGTTCAGTTCAGTTAGTTCAGTTCTAGTTCAGTTCTAGTTCAGTTCTAGTTCAGTTCTAGTTCAGTTCTAGTTCAGTTCTAGTTCAGTTCTAGTTCAGTTCTAGTTCAGTTCTAGTTCAGTTCTAGTTCAGTTCTAGTTCAGTTCTAGTTCAGTTCTAGTTCAGTTCTAGTTCAGTTCTAGTTCAGTTCTAGTTCAGTTTTAGTTCAGTTCTAGTTTAGTTCTAGTTCAGTTCTAGTTCAGTTCTAGTTCAGTTCTAGTTCAGTTCTAGTTCAGGTCTAGTTCAGTTCTAGTTCAGTTCTAGTTCAGTTCTAGTTCAGTTCTAGTTCAGTTCTAGTTCAGTTCTAGTTCAGTTCTAGTTCAGTTCTAGTTCAGTTCTAGTTCAGTTCTAGTTCAGTTCTAGTTCAGTTCTAGTTCAGTTCTAGTTCAGTTCTAGTTCAGTTCTAGTTCAGTTCTAGTTCAGTTCTAGTTCAGTTCTAGTTCAGTTCTAGTTCAGTTCTAGTTCAGTTCTAGTTCAGTTCTAGTTCAGTTCTAGTTCAGTTCTAGTTCAGTTCTAGTTCAGTTCTAGTTCAGTTCTAGTTCAGTTCTAGTTCAGTTCTAGTTCAGTTCTAGTTCAGTTCTAGTTCAGTTCTAGTTCAGTTTTAGTTCAGTTCTAGTTCAGTTTCTAGTTCAGTTCTAGTTCAGTTCTAGTTCAGGTCTAGTTCAGTTCTAGTTCAGTTCTAGTTCAGTTCTAGTTCAGTTCTAGTTCAGTTTCTAGTTCAGTTCTAGTTCAGTTCTAGTTCAGTTCTAGTTCAGTTCTAGTTCAGTTCTAGTTCAGTTCTAGTTCAGTTCTAGTTCAGTTCTAGTTCAGTTCTAGTTCAGTTCTAGTTCAGTTCTAGTTCAGTTCTAGTTCAGTTCTAGTTCAGTTCTAGTTCAGTTCTAGTTCAGTTCTAGTTCAGTTCTAGTTCAGTTCTAGTTCAGTTCTAGTTCAGTTCTAGTTCAGTTCTAGTTCAGTTCTAGTTCAGTTCTAGTTCAGTTCTAGTTCAGTTCTAGTTCAGTTCTAGTTCAGTTCTAGTTCAGTTCTAGTTCAGTTCTAGTTCAGTTCTAGTTCAGTTCTAGTTCAGTTCTAGTTCAGTTCTAGTTCAGTTCTAGTTCAGTTCTAGTTCAGTTCTAGTTCAGTTTTAGTTCAGTTCTAGTTTAGTTCTAGTTCAGTTCTAGTTCAGTTCTAGTTCAGTTCTAGTTCAGTTCTAGTTCAGGTCTAGTTCAGTTCTAGTTCAGTTCTAGTTCAGTTCTAGTTCAGTTCTAGTTCAGTTCTAGTTCAGTTCTAGTTCAGTTCTAGTTCAGTTCTAGTTCAGTTCTAGTTCAGTTCTAGTTCAGTTCTAGTTCAGTTCTAGTTCAGTTCTAGTTCAGTTCTAGTTCAGTTCTAGTTCAGTTCTAGTTCAGTTCTAGTTCAGTTCTAGTTCAGTTCTAGTTCAGTTCTAGTTCAGTTCTAGTTCAGTTCTAGTTCAGTTCTAGTTCAGTTCTAGTTCAGTTCTAGTTCAGTTCTAGTTCAGTTCTAGTTCAGTTCTAGTTCAGTTCTAGTTCAGTTCTAGTTCAGTTCTAGTTCAGTTCTAGTTCAGTTCTAGTTCAGTTCTAGTTTAGTTCTAGTTCAGTTATAATTTAGTTATAGTTCTTTTTTAGTTTACTTAGTTCTCATTAAAAAGTCTATTTCTACAAAAATCGAAAAAAGTACCTGTGCTAATCAATTATCATTCAAATAATTCCCATTTACCCTTTTTTCTCTCCATCCAGCTAATTCACCAGCCAACAATCTAAATGGTTCGGCCGCCGGTCACACTCCAGCGAATGCCACGAATCATCACCATCACAATAATCACCATCACTACAATGCCAAACAACATGGCAACAGCTCGGGTTGTGTAAGTGCTACTAACAATACCTCAACAAATACAAATCCTGTTTTCTATTTAATGGCCAGCAATGGTAACACTGGTGCTGTAGGCGGCGGCTGTAGTGCCAATGCCATAAGTTCATCGAACGTCACCACCAGCAGTAAACACACAGGACCCTTTTTAGGGCCACACGCAGGCGCCGCTGTCCATCATCCACACTCTCAGCGGGGACTGCATCATTTGGCCGAGGGTCGTAAGGCGAAATTGCGCAGATTTAATTCACACGATACCAGTTCGAATATGTTTTCGGTGGCGGATTTTGAAAATGCCCGCTTGGCAAGACGTAATGAAATCGAATTGAAACAGAGACTGCAACGACGTATGCGTCATGGTTATAGTGGTGGGACAGGTAGTGGAGGTCTTTTAACAGGAGGACCTTGTGGTCAGGGTTTGCTGACAGGCGGTATGGGTGATTATTCTACGGGTGATAGTAAAACTTCGAAAAATAGTAACGAGGTGAGTAAGGATGCAATAGCTGTGGTTTGTTTCAGTTATTATTAATGGCTTTTTTATTTTCATTTACAGTCTCAAAATGAACCCTTGCAGGTGGAAGAGTTTTTGGAACGCTATTCCCTTCCACGTGTGGTGCGCATTTCCTATAAAACACTTTTCTCCAATGAAACCCTACAATCTTCTTCATCCAATAATTCATCCACCGCCACCTCAAACTCATCAACGAGTGCTAAAAATACGGCTCCAGCTACCTCTTCATCCAACGATGCAAATATGTTGAGTTCTAATTCGAATAGCAATACGGGAACCTCTTCTTCAAGTACCTCTTCGGGTATGGGTGTTGGAGTAAATGCTAATCCCTCATCCCAGACTTTGGGTAGCAATAGTAGCAATAATAGTGGAGGTAAAACTTTACCTATGGAGGGTAATCAGACAAATGATAATGCCAATCATAATGGCCAACATGAGGAGGAACAGGGTGAACTATTTTTACTATATCGACTGGTGCGTCAACGTCATATTTATCATGGTCATAATAGTAAGACTACAGCGGCTAATCGAAAAAAGGGTGTAATGATACCACAGGAATTTCCAGGTGAGTTTTTAAGCAATTTTGGAGAGCAGAGTCTTCACTAAATATATTTGTTTAAGTATATTAAAGCATATTTCAAGGAATAATGCAATTTTTTCAAATTCCCAAAAAAATTTGAAAATTTTTCAAAAATCCAGAATTGATTAAAAAAGGAAAATTTTTTAATTTCCAACACAATTGAGTATAATCCTTTTCATTTTGATGATTTTTGTTATAATTGTATGCAAAATATTAACAATTTCTGAAATCCCGGAAATTTGTTGTGCAAAATCACTACAAAATGGATGATTTTAAAAACTGGGGAAATGGTAATTTTCACTGAATGTGTATTTTTAGATAAATATTACCCTATTTCAACATATAATGCAATTTTTTTCAAATTCCCAATTATTTTTACAAATTTCCAAAATCCCACAAATGGTTAAGAAAAAAGGGTAATTTGTTAATTTTCAACGCAATTGAGCATAATTCTCGTCATTTTGATGATTTTTATGCTAATTATAGTAAAATATCCACAAGTTTTTCAAATCCCCGAAATTTTATGTGCAAAATCACTAAAAAATGGATCATTTTATAAACTGGGGAAGTGGTAATTTTCACTAAATACAAATTTTTAAGCAAATATTAGCATATTTTAACAAATAATGCATTTTTTTCAAATTCCCAAAAAAATGTTAAAAATTTCCAAAATCCCAGAAATTTTAAAAAAAGGTGAATTTGTTAATTTTCAACGCAAATGAGCATAATTCCTTTAATTTTGATGATATTTTTGCTAATTATATGCAAAGCATTCACAAGTTTTTCAAATCCCCCAAATTTTGTGTGCAAAATCACTACAAAATGGATCATTTTATAAACTGGGGAAGTGATAATTTTCAAAAAATTTAGTATTTTAACAAATAATGCAACTTTTTTCAAATTCCCAAAAAAAAAATTTAAAATTTCCAAAATCCCAAAAATGGTTAAAAAAGGGAAATTTGTTAATTTTCAACGAATTTTAGTCTAATTCTTTTCCCTTTAATGATTTTTATTGAAATTATATGTAAAAAAATGCACAAATTTTGTTAATTCCCAAAATGTTTGGAAAATCATTAAAAAGGGAAAATATTTATAATGTGGGGAAAGTACAATTTTCACTAAAAGTGCTTTGTATTTCATTTATTTTAACAATTTATGTTAAAAACTTTCTAGTTTTAAATTTTTTTCCAAAAATTCCCTAAAATTTTTCTTAAATTTGCAAAATACTGGGACAAATTTTTTTGTAAGGGGAAAGGGAAAATTTTAATAAAAAATTATGAAAATCTTAAAAATACTTATAGCACTTATAAACATTCATATTTTGTTGCCAAATTTCTCAATACTTTTCCAATTCCCAAATATAATTTAAAAATATACAAAATTCCATTTTTGTAGAAATTTCCAAAATCGCGGAAAATTTCAAGGATTTAATTTGAAATGTATAAAATTTGGTTTACAAAAGTTTTGAAATAGAATTTTTATAAATAAATAGTTTATATTAAGAAATTCCTAAGAATTCCCAAAAACTATTAGAAAAATTTCCAAAATCCCAGAAAATTTCTAAAATTTTATACAAAATGTTTAAAATTCTTAAATAAAATGTTTTAAATAACATTTTTAACAATAAATTTGATATATTATGAGACTTTTAACAATTCCCAAAAACTATTTGAAAAATTTCCAAAATCCCCGAAAATTTTTATATGCAAAATTACATAAAAACTAACAAGAATGATATTAAAACAATTATTTTACATAAACGAGCAAATTTTAAGGGTTATTTTTAAATTCCCAAAAAATAACAGAAAATACCCAAAATCCCCCCCAAAAATTTTTACTTGAAAAAAATCATATTATGTTGTTTTAAAAAGGAAAATTACATTTAATTACTATAAAACCTTTTTAACATGGCTTTTTCTTTTAATTTTCCTTTTTTTTACAGTTTTTATTTTGTGTTAAATAATTTATCTACAACTTAATGTCATTAGCATTTATTGGCCTGTCATTAATGTTATAAGCTTCTTTTTATTATACTTAATATTTATAATTTTTTTTTTTTTTTTTTGTACTTTTGGCCAACATGCCAAAACACAGTAAGAGTTTAAAATACTTTGTTCACAGTAAATAGTCAACAGTAAGTAATCAGAATCTGCCAGCAAGCCTGCTTGCCTGGCTTCCTCTTAAACTGTGAACTCATAATGTAAACAATTTGTACAACTCGTAATAATAATGCTGCTGGTTGCTATAATGATCCTTTTTTTTGGTAAATTATGAAGGACATGCAATTCTTGGTACAAAGTACTGAGTTGTTGAGTGTTTCTTTTTGCCAAAATAAAGAGAAAAAACTATAACAAAAAAATCTATTACTTTATAGCCAGTAATAATAGCTGTAGTCATATGTGTAAAATGACTGTTTTTTTCATTGTTTTTCCAAAAGACATGTTTAGCCAGGATTAGTATAGAAAATTTAGGAGTTTGTTAAGTGCCAAGTTGTACTTTAAAAAAAAACGAAAAAAAACCTATTTGGTTTTTCTTCTTATGTCTCAAATTATGACTTAAAAGGATAAAACAAATGTCAGCATTTACTGCTATTCATATGCAGAAAGATTAGTTTTCTTTTCTATTGCTGTCTTTGCTGAAAATTGTCAGTAAATATGTATGTGTTTTAAAAGTTGTAATGGAATAAAATATTTCCATAATAATAAAACTATATAATATTTCATGGATTTCAGTTTTGCTGCATTCAAACTAAAGTTGAAGAAATTGTCATTTGTTTTATGGAAATATGCAGAATAGAGAAAGAAAACATATTACAAAATATAAACTAAATGCCAAAGGACATTAAGTTAAAACAAAAAAATATGTTAGCAGTTTGTCAAGTTATTTAGAGAGAAAAAAAGAGATAGTTGAAATGTTAGACTTAATATTTTTAAAAAATATGATTAAATTTTCTTCAAAAAAAACTAAAGGATTTAGTTTTGTCATTATGTCACATAAAACGTTTTACATTTAAAATCTATAGTTTTAAATACTCATGATATTATTTTAAATTCTAGACAATAGGCATTGTTAGAGTTCAGATAAAATTCTTTGCTATAGCCAAGACTGCAGTCTAAGTCCATTCTATAGTCCAGACTATAGTTTATTCTTTAGTCTATTCTATAGTCCAAACAATAGGCTACTCTATAGTCCAGACTATAGCCTATACTATAGACCAAACTATAGTCTATTATATAGTCCAGACTCTAGTCTATTCCATAGTCCAGATTATAGTCTATTCTATAGTCCAGATAATAGTCTATTCTATAGCTCAGACCATAGTCTACTCTATAGCAATTCTATAGCTATTCAATAGTCCACACAATAGCCCATACTATAGTCCAGACTATAATCTCTTCTATAGTCCAAACTATAGTTTCTTATTTCGTCTATTTTATAGTCCAAACAATAGCCTATTCTATAGTCCAGACTATAGTCTATTCTATAGTCCCGACTATAGTCTATTCTATTGTCCAGACTATAGTCTATTCTGTAGTCTATTCTATTGTCCAGACTATAGTCTATTCTGTAGTCCAGACTATATAGTCCGGACTATAGTCTTTTCTATAGTCTATTCTATAGTTCAGACTATAGTCCAAACTATAGTTAGGTTCTATAGTCCAGACTATAGTCTATTCTACAGTCCAGACTATAGTCTTTTATATAGTCTATTCTATAATCCAGACTATAGTCTACTTTATAGTCCAAACTATAGTCTATTCTATAGTCCAGACTATAGTCTATTCTATAGTCCAGACTATAGTCTATTCTATAGTCCAGACTATAGTCCAAACTATAGTTAGGTTCTATAGTCTATTCTACAGTCCACACTATAGTCTATTCTATAGTCCAGACTATAGTATTTTCTATATTCTATATTCCAGACCATAGTCTAATTTATACTCCAAACTATAGTCTATTCTATAGTCCAGACTATAGTCTTTTCTATATTGTATTCTATAGTCCAAACTTTAGTACATTGTATAGTCCAGACTATAGTTTATTCTATAGTTCAGACGATAGTCTATTTTATATTCCACACTATAGTCTATTTTCAAGTCCAGACTATAGTCTATTCTATAGTCTAGACTATAGTCTATTCTATAGTTCAGACTATAGTATATTCCATAGTCCAGACTATAGTCTATTCTACAGTCTAGACTATAATATATTCTATAATCCAGAATATAGTCTATTCTATAGTCCAGAATATAGTCTATTCTATAGTAAAGACTATAGTCTACTCTATAGTCCAGACTATAGTCTACTCTATAGTCCAGATTACAGTCTATTCTATAGTCTAGACTATAGCCTATTTATAGTCCGGACTATAGCCTATTTTATAGTCCGGACTATAGCCTATTCTATAGGTCGGACTATAGTCTATTCTATAGTCTAGACTATAGTCTATTCAATAGTCTAGATTATAGTCTGTTCTATAGTCTAGACTATAGTCTGTTCTATAGTCTAGACTATAGTCTATTCTATAGTCCAGACTATAGTCTATTCTATAGTCCAGACTATAGTCTATTCTATAGTCCAGACTATAGTCTATTCTATAGTCCAGACTATAGTCTATTCTATAGTCCAGACTATAGTCTATTCTATAGTCCAGACTATAGTCTATTCTATAGTCCAGACTATAGTCTATTCTATAGTCCAGACTATAGTCTATTCTATAGTCCAGACTATAGTCTATTCTATAGTCCAGACTTAGATTCTATAGTCCATGACTATAGTCTATTCTATAGTCCAGACTATAGTCTATTCTATAGTCCAGACTATAGTCTATTCTATAGTCCAGACTATAGTCTATTCTATAGTCCAGACTATAGTCTATTCTATAGTCCAGACTATAGTCTATTCTATAGTCCAGGCTATAGTCTGTTATATAGTCCAGATTATAGTCTATTCTATAGTCCAGACTATAGCCTATTCCATGGTCCAGACTATAGTCTATTCTATAGTCCAGACTATAGTGTATTCTATAGTCCAGACTATAGTCTATTCTATAGTCCAGACTATAGTCTATTCTATAGTCCAGACTCTAGGCTATTCTATAGTCCAGACTATAGTCTATTCTATAGTCCAGACTATAGTCTATTCTATAGTCCAGTTTACAGTCTATTATGTAGTCCAGACTATAGTCTATTATATAGTCCAGACTATAGTCTATTCTATAGTCCAGACTATAGTCTATTCTATAGTCCAGACTATAGTCTAGTCTATAGTCCAGACTATAGTCTACTCTATAGTCCAGACTATAGTCTACTCTATAGTCCAGACTATAGTCTATTCTATAGTCCAGATTACAGTATATTCTATAGTCTAGACTATTCTATTCTATAGTCCGGACTATAGCCTATTCTATAGTCCGGACTATAGTCTATTCTATAGTCTAGATTATAGTCTTTTCTATAGTCTAGACTATAGTCTATTCTATAGTCCAAACTATAGTCTATTCTATAGTCCAAACTATAGTCTGTTCTATAGTCCACACTATAGTCTATTCTATAGTCCAGACTATAGTCTATTCTATTGAC